TTCTGCAAACAAATCTATGGTTTATGTTACCTCATCTCATTGCATGGTTATGAACTATAAACTTAAATAGAGCTTGAAATATTGTGTAATCAACTCTAATTTTTTGTAATATGATATAATGTATAATTTGCAGTGAAAAAAGCAATTTTCAATTTTTTTTTGTTGAATACGCTCCTCCTTTGCCGAACACATTATTCTTAAATATGACCAATGATGATTAAAATCACTTGGACACTAATGTATGGACAGTTTTGGCACACATCGGAACCAAACCTCACTTAGGTTGCCTGAAAACAAGAGGAAATTATTAAAGAATAATATTTAAATAAACCTTGTCTGTTGTCTTAAATAAAACCTGCATAAATCATTGATAAAATATACATTATTTAAAACTTGATAGTCTATAATATTAATTCATTAAACTTACACTGCATTTGAATTTTTGTTTTCATTACCTGAAACATCCTTTATATATTATATATTACATTATAATTTAAATTTTTTTCAATATCAAATTTTTTCTTCATAAATATTTTATGTATTTCCTGTTTTTATTTCAGTGACTATGTATTTTTAAATTGCTTAATGTTTAAGATTTTCTGTTTTTCTCAATTTGAATGATTGCAAAAATATATTTCAACATTTTTTTATTTATTTTTTATTGGTAAATCAGTGATCAAAAGCCAGCAGAAGCTTTCTTTTTCACTGGCATATTTGTGCACAGGATAATTACCATTTCTGTTCAGATTGATAACATTTCTCTCTCTCTCACTCTCTCTCTCTAGATTAGTTAGCTGATTTTGTTTTTGATGACAGACAACTTGTGGCGGAATTGGTTTACCATATTCATTTGATCCTTACCTCAATTTTAACAGCACTTTTTTTTCTTTTCTTTTTTTCAAAATAAAAAAAGGGCTTCATATTTGTGATGTAATAAATTGTCAACTATATGTGCACAGTAATCAGTGAAAGTGAATGTTTCAGATTTCATTTGCCACAAGGAACATCTACTGTGATGAAATTCTAACTTGGAATTTATTAAATCATTTTCCCAAATATTTACAAGATGCAGAAATAATTTGCAGTTTATTTGTAACCTAAAATGGGAAACATTTAGGGAATTAATGCCGTTTTTTTTTTTTTTTTCTTTTTTTTAATTGATTTTTGTTTTTATTTTTTTACTATTTTTATTTATTTTAAATTGTTGACCAAAATACAACTCTTGTCTGTGTTATGAACTTCATTGCTCTACATCCTTTTACTAACGACGTCCTTCAATTAAAATATTTGCATGTTCTGTCCCTACAGACATAATATGCTTAAACTTTATAAATTGTTTTAAAATCATCTATACTCTTTGAAAGTACACATTGAACATATATATGTGCACACACTCACAATTGATCATATCAGCATGCTTACTAATTATAAATTATAATAAATGCTTACCTATTTTTAATTAGGCTTTGATGGCATGCTGATATCAAAGAAGCAAATAATTATGTTGTCTTGTGGTCATCTAGAACAATCTAAGCCAGACAACTGTCACATCTGGAATTAATTTTGGGAACCCTGAAATAGTCATCTGATAATTTCATTTTTATTCCTCATGTCTCGCATAGCCTGAGCTTAGGCTAATTGTAGTTTACCTCTATAGGCTGAATAACTTTCTAATGATTTTTATTGATTAATTTTATAAGAAAAAAAAACATGACTAAAAATGAGGAGACTGAAAATATGAAAAGCATTAATATATATATATAGAGGCACAGTGTAGTATTGGATAGTGGCTCAAATTGAGGAATCAGAAAACAGTTTGAATTCCAGTCAAGTTCGTTACATTCACTTGTGTGCAAATACTTATGTGAAAGGTATGGATCCATCTCCCCGCTCCAACTATGGGTAAATAGAACTGGATCCTATAGCCTTGCATGGCAACCAGCCTGGGAGAAGGATAACTCTGAATTCAAAATCTGAGTGGTTGGTAACTAAACCAGCTCCTCCCAGCTGGGTCTGGTGAGGTAGGTGAGTGGAACTCCAGCAGCATAAGAAGCAAGAGCTGTTAAAGGGTGGATGAACTCCTCAGAGTCAACAACTATCAACCCCAATCATGGGTTAAAGAGCCTCATCACCCTGCAATTGGCCAAGTGTGGTGAGTACGGCTACACCTCTGAAGACCTGGTCAATCAGGGAGTGGTTCCTCCAACAGGAGTTAGGCTCTGGATTTGGAATAATTTTATATTTATATTACATACTGGTCGTATTGAGACCCAACAGCCATTTCTTTATTTTGTTTACATGAAGGAGATTGTTTAAATTTGATATAGTTTCCATAGTTTTCAGATGAAAATCTGCATATGAATGGCTTAACAAACAAAACATATCCTCGTGGTAGGCCAAAGCACGGTGCCAATTAAGCTTGATATAGTTTTATATCAGTATTATAGTTTTATATTTCTATATTGATTATAATCTCTACAAAGCATTTTATGATCTTTTTTCTATTATTTTAAAGATATGTTGTGGGTATGTAAAAAGAAAACAACCTTTTATTGTATGTTTTTGAATAGCAAGAAAAGAATAGACCTTATTAAATGTTATTTCTCCTCAAACTATCATGTTTTTGGACTGTTCAAGGTCCATAAAGGTTCCTAGGAGTTTTGAGTGAGCAACTTATGGAAGATAATCATGTTCATTTGTTTTTAATTATTTTCTGACTTTTTAAGTATTTTTTTTTTCCTTTGGAAAAGTCAAGAATGAAAGAAACAAAAAATATTCAAAGATGAATATGTTAGAAATGAATGTCTAAACTATAAATAATGGAAAATAGATTAAACAAATGGTGTTTATCATTTTGATCAGTTAATATAAATAATGAGTGTCTTTCATTTCAATTTTTATGTTTATATACCTACGTTAGGTGTTTAACTTAAGTTTCGTTGGTTACCCAACTCACCTGGCACAAGATGTAGCTTAATATATTTATTGCTTATACAAAAGAAGCTATATCTTGTGTCCGACAGGTTGTGTAACCAACAAAACTTAAGTTGCACACCAAACATAGGTATATGTGTATTTATTAATATATATTTCTTAGCTCTGTCTAATCACATTGAGCACTATTATGTCTACACCACTAAATTTGGTAATTATTTATTTGCTTACCAATGCATGCATGTATATGGTCGCTAATATCTAGTTATTTCATTTACCTAACCTAATATATATATATATATATATATATATATATATATATATATATATATTTATTTACAACTACTGGTCTGAATATTCAAGAAATCTTGTTAGAAAAATATACACTCTCTGGAGACAAAGGTTTGAATCCTGCCAGAGGGCACGTATTTTTCTAACAAGATTTCTTGAATGGTCAGATGTAAATAAATATATAAATAAATAAAAACTGAGCATCTACTAAAATATGGGTATCCATTTAAAATAACATTTAAACAAATAAATTAGAAAAATATATAGTTATGATGAGAACAAATAGAATACACTTTAATGTTCATAACATTTGATTTACTAGAGGGCTCAATACATAGTAGGGCAATATTATTTTAAGATATTACAACAAAAACATGCAAGAATTGCTACATAATTGCAGTTGTGTTTCAATGCATAACAATGTGTATATATAAATGGGTTTTCAGCAAGACAAGTTAAAGAAAAAGTATTTCTTATATCAAGCTTATTGCATTCATACTCACAGAACTGTTTTTTTTAACTAAAAATTTTCAACAGTCAGATATAGATATATTTGTTGGGAGGTGGAATCTTGTTTATTTGAAATTTTTGTAAATTCTGGATGTTAAATGAGGGTTTGAATGGTTGTTTCTGCTTTAAAAATATCTTTATTAATCAGGATAAATTTTTGTTTTCTGGTTGCCTATGTTCAGAATATCAAGTCCTTAGGTTTTTACATGGGATTTTTTTTCCCTTGAAAAAAACAAAGAAAAACCATAATAAATGAGTCTTTGTGAAGAATGCTTGAATTATCTATTTTCTCTCATTCATCTTCTCCAGCATGTGCTCCGATTTGACACTATTATAGAAAATTTTAAAAACTCATCCATGTGTCTGTATCTGGAGACACTTCTGTATCTCCTGAGCATGCTTGATGGCTGACCTGCCTATTTTGAGATGTGTTGCTTTCTTTCTTTTTTAAATCCCTTAATAACAACACTTCAATCTGCATGTATTTCTGTCTCTTCTCTGAAGAATGTAGAGCACGCTTCTTCATCTTTACTGAACTTTCCCTTTCATTGTCCTCTCGGCTGAAATTCATTTTAAGTAGAACCTCAGTTTGCATGGCATCTATTTGATTAAAAAAAAAACAAAAAAAAAAACACCCAAAAAACATTCTTCTTAGTAAATCTCTTTCAGCTTTCCCAGACTTCAGCCATTTTATTTCTTTCTTCATCCATCCACTGATTTCCTTCTCCTGCAGAGTTGTTGGTCACTTATATTTAACTCTCACACACTCGACACACCTGGAAAATTTTTTTTTTTCTTTTTCTTTTTTATGTAAAATCCATATTTAGGATTCTTTGGATAGATTGTTTTTTTTTTATCTAAATCTTAATGATTCAAAACTTTGAAATTTAATATTTCTTCACATTTGGGCAGGCTGTGTAACAAGAAGAAAGGAAAATAGATGGAGCATAAGGTTGGTTTATTATTGCCCAATTGATAGCAAACAATAGAAAAAGACCAAAATTGATATCTAGGGGTTTGCTGGTAAGACATGGCAAAGAATAATGCAAAGTCATCATGGAAGGTCTTAAGAAAGGACTGATGATTTGAAACAAATCAATTTATGCAAATGAATATTTGAGTTAAAAAAACTCTATAAAAATTTAATTTTGATAGTTTTATTACTATAAATTGAGATATTCACAATATAAAAACAAATAGGTTAATGCTACAAATGCTTCATATTCATACTTCAACTTATAAAGAAAAGAAGGCTTACGGCCACATGTTAAAATACTGGTTCCCATACAATCACTGAAGTTAAGCAAGGTCGAGCCTGGTCAGTACCAAGATGGGTGACTGCTTGGGTATATCAAGTGCTGTAAACTTGGATGTGCAGCTGATATAATGGATAATGGCTCAGAATTGTTAAATTCTATTTTCCATTTGGTTTGTTATCTTGGTTATGTGCAAATACCTTTTAGAAAGGTATGAATCCATAACTAAATGGCCCAGCTATGGGTTAATTAGTAAAACTTGTATCACTAAACCATTATTATCTCCAAAAAGAATGCTTATAATTTAAAGATATTTTCTGGCTTTAAATAACCTCCAAAGAATTGAAATGCTGTAGAAAACTAATCAATCACATATAAAGAAATTTAAAATGCATATTAGAGGAATTCATATTCTATTGTGTTGTGGTTCAAAAAGATCAAATGCCTTATACTAATGGTCACTTTTATGAAATCAGTTATTTATACTTGTTAGTATTATAATATTTAAAAGACTAAAATGTATTGTCAAAACAAGCAAATTTATTTTCTTTGGGTTTTTTTCTTTTTTTCTTGTCGGAAAAAAGAAAATACTTGAAAATTTTCCAGGTTGTGTATTGTGCATGCTCGATAAATTTATTTTAAATGTCGTACATGCCATTGTGAGTGTCTTACCTGTGCAGGTGTTCATCCCATTTCATCTCCTTTGTTACCTGTTGTCTAGCTCTAGACCTCAGCTCACCAGTGTCCATCACAGCACAGTCGCCGCCTTCTTCCTCATCAGCAACACCTGGGACTGTTGGCAGTGGCACTGCCTCCTCGGCCACCATGTCAGCTTCGGTCCAATCTGCTGAGACGAAACAATCCTCAGCAACAACTCCTACAGGCATTGGCCATCGTAATAGCATGATATCTCGGGCGTCTAGCACTATACTGGCGCCCACATTTAATGGAGGTCCATGTAAGTTGATCATTGATACTATGTGTGTGTATGAGAATGAGTGGGTGGGGAGAGAGAGAGAGAGAGAGAGAGAGTGTGTGTGTGTGTGTGTATATATATATATATATATATATATATATATATATATATATATATATAAATAAATGTGCGTGTGTTTATATTTTTGTGTGTATATTCATATGCAACTAACAAACTGGGTTTGAAAATAAGCTGTTATGATGTTGAAATTGTGTGCATGCATGCTCACAGAGAAGCCATGTTGAAAATGTAACTCTAAGGTTTAGTCTTTTCATGTAGTCATTTGTAAGCTAGAAAGATTATAGCAATGTTATGTTTGTAGGCAATCAGGATTAAAAAAAATATTTTTTGTCTTTACAGCTTCTTATATTAAATTTGATTTAAAGAAAAAAAAATAAGTGTGCATATATATATATATATATATATATATATATATATATATAAAAAAATTAAATGAAGCATATTCTCAGAATATTTTTTCTTTGTTCACTTTTTCCACAATGTTAGCCAAGCAGTAATATACAACTTCCACTTTATTTTGTGTGTATGCAGATTTTCTGCTTATTCCAAAGCTGTGAATTTTAACATAAAATCAATTTTAGTTCAAATATGATAATGTGTATTACTCTATAAAAATATTTGGAATTGTAAATTTTCTTTTTATATAAGTACATATTTCATGGTAAAATACGATTTTTATCAGTTTTTAGTTTTTCTATATGAGACTAATGTCAAAAATTGGTTAGTGCAAGAAAAAAAAATTTTTTTAATGAGTTTTTAAAAAAAAATTTTTTGGTTATTTGTGATGTCGGGATTGTGGAAAAAAATAGACTTAATTTTTTTGCCAAGTTAATAAAGGGAATATTGTAATTTGTTGTTTCTTTTTTTTTGTTTGTGTTTTTTGTTTGTGTTTGTGTTTTTTGTTTGTGTTTTTCCTTTCTATTTTGTTTTTGTTTGTTTTTTTTTTCCTCTATATGAAACAATGTCAAGTTGGTTAGTGTAAGAAAAAAAAAATTTTAAATGATTTTAAAATTTTTTTGTTGTTTTTGGCTTGAAGAAAAAAATGAATTTTAAATATGAAAATGTGATATAGGGATGGAGAGAAAAACAAAATTAGGCTTAATTTTCTTGGCATGTTAATAAAAGGAATCTTGGAAATTTTTTTTTTTTTTTTTTGTTATCAGTGTCATTGATCAGTTTTTTTCTCTTTAAGAATAAAACCAAACAAGATATTAAACAAAATCTTTGTTTTTAAACTGTAAACCTAATGCTTTTATATTGACATGATGAAACCAACATTTTGGTTTCTAGATCTGTTTAAAAAAAAAAAAAAACATGGGCTAAAATAATTACTTTCTTTGTTTTTTTGTTTTTTTTCATAAGATTATAATAATTATTCAGTGTTTAATATAAACTTTGATGTCTTCCTTCAGATCTCTCCTGTGAGAGTAAGTTGCTGATTATCAGTTTATCATTTCTTACATTTAGATTGATTTAAGATCAATATTTTCAAAAAGAGATCAAGAACAGAAACAATCAGTATATGATTTTTTTGTTTTTTGCAACAACTTTTTTTAATGCATTAAACTTACTGCAATAATCATAATAAATATATAACTGTGGCTCTCTATAAGCTTTCCTGCATGTAAATGAAAATTATGTTTAGTCATGTTGTCTTAGGAATCTTTTGAATAAGCACTTATGTAAGTGTTGTATCAATCTGTTCTTCTATATAGGTAATAACTTTATATCTAGCTGTTATGTAATGTCAGTCCTTCTATATGGTAGTGAATGTGGGACAATCTTCTCACAAAGAAGAGACTTGAAACAACAGAAATGTGGTCCTACAGAAGGATGCTGAGAATACCATAGACTAGGCATGTGAGCAACAGTAAAGTTTTAGAGAAAATGGAAACAGAAAGGACACTTATATTTAACATCAAAATGAGAAAATTGAAGTTTGACATTCACAGGACATATTGAAGGCAAGAAGGAAAGAGGAAAACCTACCTAAGAAGTTTGTGTAAACAGATGGCAGAACAGGGTTTAAGAGAGCAAAAAAGACAAGATTTACTAAGATCTGCAAAGGACAGGAAATTGTTGGGAGCCATGATTGCTCATGTCCTGATGGGACATGGTAAATAGAAAAAGTGATAAAGTATATATTCAGTGTACTATTGACAAATTTTAAATTTCTTTATTATTAATCTTGCATCATCATAAAGTTTTGAAAAATTATTTCCTTTTTTTTTTTTTTTTTTTAAATGAGTTATTTACTTTTTATGGCATCTGACAACATAATTATTTTCAATCTTATTGCTATGTTAAAATGTTTTTAATAAATAGATGCAATACTTTTTTGAGGGGTTGAAATTTATTTTATAAATGATGAGACTATATGAAATATTGATCTTAAATGAAACCTTTTATTAGATTTGTTTGGAATATTGTGAATATTAGTTTTAGTTTTTAATGATTTCATTTTTGACATATACTAACCAGATTGTTTGAAATAGGATTTAGAAGACTAACATAGTGAATAGATTACTGTGCATTTTCTCTTAAAAGTGAAACAAATTCATATGAAAAGAATTACTAATAGCAAAATGATACTGTCCCATAATAGTTGGTACATTCTGTGTATGAACTGTGTATGCAAATCGAACAATTATTATGGGACAATAGTACAGGTTAAGTATCCTTTATCTGAAATTAAATAATAATAATATAAAAAAAAAAAAACCTCCAAAATCCTAAAGTTTTTTTTTCTGGTGCTGACATGACTTGCAGCAAATGGAAAATTTCAAAAAGAATTGCTAAGGTTGCTAGTTAATGTGCAGCTGTTTTAAAGTGGCCTCATCTGCCCTGGGTGGGGGTTCCCCAGCCCAGCTATGTAGCCTAAATTGGCACCAGATTTTTGTTAGCGATTGTCACAGCAACACCTTTATTTGTAGATTACTTACCTGGTGCTTTGTGCTCAGTAAAGATATCATTCAAAAAGACCTAGATACCCAGTGAAAAGAAAAAAAAAAGAAAAAAAAAAAAGAAAATCATTTATGTTTTTCAATATCACAAAAAGTCAAACTGTTGGAAAAAAGAAGACAAGGGTGTAAGTGTGAAGCATCTGACTAAGAAGTTTGGCGTTGGTACAACCACCATATGTGACCTAAGTAAACAGGAGGAGACATTGTTAAAGTTTTATGCTGAAAGTGATCAACAGAAATTAATGGAAAATAGAAAAATACTGCACAGAGCAAAAAATGATGATCTTGATTGTGTATTGATCGAGTGGATTCATCAGCATTGGAATGAACATATGCTGCTTATATAAAACTACCTTCAGGGTATATGTATAAGTTGTATTATGAAATGTAAAGGGACATTGTGTTTATGCTTGGATTCCATTTCCAAGCTGCCTCATTTTATAGATGCTATTTACAAATTAAATCCGAAAAACGAAGCACTTCTGATGACAAGAATTTGGGATAAAGGATTCTCAACCTGTAATATTCTTTACCATGCCATGATACTTTGTACATTTAGTATATGAACTGTGTATGCAAATGTAACAATTATGGGACAATAATAATGTTTTTTTAACAATCTCTGTCTTGTAATAGTTTGTATATTTAGTATATGAACTGTGTATGCAAATGTAACAATTATTATGGGACAGATGGTATTTTTAAAATAACTGAATGATCAGAACAATTACAACTTTGCTAGGCATTGCAACTGTTGCTTTGAATGCTGTTGAAATAATAAAATGTCCCTAAAACTTGGTCTAGATATGTCAATCTCTGTAAATGTCTTGTATGTCAACATTCTACTAATATTGACTAGAAGTGTTTTCTCTCTCATTTTTACTTATTTTCTTGTTTTCATTATACTGCTTATTTAAAATAATTTGTGCATATATGTTGAAAATCAAAGAACAATGCTTTTGTGTAGGTATTAAAGTTTGGTAGTTTGGCTGACTCATAACACAGGATCTGGTGTGTATGGGAGAATGCAATGGGAGGAAGGTAGGGAATTATTAAGGATAATGAACAAAATAACTCTGACTTTGTTAAAGAATCTTAATATCTACGGTTATATTTCTGTTTGGAATGCTGATCATAAAATATTGAAAAACAAAAAGAAAGTATTTCTCAATTTTAGACAAGATTCATTTTTTTTTTTTTTTTCATGACTAAATTTGGTTTCCATTCAGGATTTACATCAATATATATTGTTGCTCAATAGAACTTTTTTATTTTACTTATGAAGAATTCTATGGTTCCAACTTTTCAATAAGTCTCATATAAAATCTGTTATGATATTGATATTATTATAATCATAATTGCAGGCATTAGTTTCTGTGTTTATTATTATTATTTGTAGTTTTTGTTAGAGAAACTTAGCTTCTTAATTGTGATTTTTGCTTGTACCTTTCATTAGATTTGTTTTTAGGTAACATACTTCAGAAAATTTGCTAAATAAGTGTCATTCTTTTGTTTTTGTGATAAAATTTCTTTCTTTTTTTTTCTGTTTCAAGAATTTCCTCTAAGGATTCTGTTTAATAATGTTAAGCTATCAGGATTGTGTGTTTCTTATTGTTTTGACTGATTTTACCAATTTTCTTGCAATCTTTGTTTTAAATTTAATTTTAAAACATTTTTGCTTTAATATTGGTCTTTTTGAAATATTTTTGCTTTTTTTTCTCCCCTTCTTATGTTTCATCAGGGTGGTAGCACCTCTTAGGGTCCCAGCTATGGGTAAATAGTGAAACACAAACAAAAACACTATGAAAGTATTAACAAAAAACATTCTTATAGTAAAATACCTGCAATATATATATATATATATATATATATATATATATATATTAAATGTGACAGACAAGGTGCTTTGATTAAGTTTTTTATATAATTTATTAAAAAAAAATAATATATAAAAAAAAACTTAATCAAAGCACCTTGTCTGTCACATTTAATGAAGCTTGCATGAAAGAAGGTTTGCTGCCTAAATACACAATTTTTCAATATATATGACCAACAATACATTTTAACTGTAGTTGAAGGTGTATAATTGCATTCAAAATATATTTACTTGAAGCCATAAAATTGTTCAAAATATTTAGATTTCAGCATTAAATGACCCATAGAGGTTGATGTGCCACTAAAAATAAAACAACCATTTTGTTTTTCCAATCAGAATTAAAAAACCTGTTTTTATAATCTTGTTTATTTTCATTGACTTTTTATGCTCATTGCTTTAAAATTTTGCTTTGAAATTGTTTTACATGTTTTTTTTCTTTAAATCTGGTAAATTTTATTTTTTCTTAGCTTAAACTGTTTTCTTTTATTGATTTTAAACCTTTCTGTTGATTTATTCCAAGCAAAACAGTCCAGTGCTCCTGCAAAGAGTTGCCAATATAACCTGGGTGAATAAACAAAAGAGCAAACTACCCTCACAATAATTACTATGATGATGATTTTGATATTTCAAACCTCGGACATGGTTTAAAGATGTTGAATTAGGATAGTTCAAAGTTTTCACTTTCTAAAGCTGAAGTTCTAACTAAATTTTTTTTTTATCTCCATGTGCTACAGAAATATAGAATAATGTATTCAGCTGAAGAATTTAAATTTGAGAATATAAATCTGACATATTAGTTGATAACAGAACTTTGGTTCTATTGACTTAACTCTATATATGTAAAATGCACTATAAAAACAATGTATTCTATTAAAACATGATTATATTGTTAAATTTTATTGATAGACTAGCAGTCATTTCTGTGAGAGAATTGCATCTGCTCTAAAATGGTATTATGAAATTACAGCAGTTTGAGATATTTTGGAAGACTATCATTTCATATACAGCAGGTTTTAATATTAAAATTTCTATTTGTTAAATTTTCCAAATATACCATTAAAAATATCAACCTTGATTACTTCTTTTTGCTACAAAGCTTTGATCAAAGTACTAAGGTAGTTACCACTTCAGAGTAGAAAATAGCTTTATTGAATAAGTTAGCAATTTTATTCTAAAAGCTGTCAGCAGAACTACTTATAAAGTTCACATTAGAAGAAACTACATAAGAAATGAATAAAAAATTGGTTTTAAAAATTTATTTCATTTTTTTTTTTAAGCTGAATATGACAGTTATTAAACAAGAATTGAAACACATGCTGGAAGATAACCCCCCCCCCCAAAAAAAACCAGTTACTTGATGTCATAGTTTTATGTAATATTTACACACACAAACAACTGATATTGTATATTTAATTAATTTTTAGGGTTTTGAGTGAATTGACAGTACTTGGAGGTTGATATATTAAATGAAACATCGTCAATTAATAATAATTATTATTACTACTATGTTCCCTTCTTTTATAAATTAACCCAGTTAACTTCTAACTTTCTGAAACATGGTCACGTTTTGTTAGCTTAATTATTATCCCGAGCACCAACATTTATAAAATCTAAAAAAAAAAAAATTTTCATGTAGACAGCTGCAATCAGAACAAGTATTTTTCTACCAGCTTTATATTGGAATGTATATTTTAACCATCAAGATTAAAAATTTCAAGAAAAAGATTTCTATAATTGCAGAAGTCAACAAAATGTAATGATAATCATCATCATCATCACCTTGAGCATTTACTAACTGCACATAACAGTGGCATGGTTTTTTTTTTGTTTTGATTTTTTTTTTTTTTTTTTTTTGTCCTTTCCTCTTTAGTTTTCCCCAAACCATAATAAGTCGGTAATAATGGATAGCTAAAGGAAACATTACCAATGATAGTATTTGTAAAAATAGGGTATACTTGTTGAGGGATACCAAATTTGGATAATGAAAAAAAACAAAAAAAACACGAGATTTAAAATATGACTGACTTTAAATTTTCTCTGCATATAGATTTTAAACATTTTTAAATTTCAAAGCACAAAGAATAAAATTTTACTTGTCTATATCTCTGAGATAAAGTAATATGATTATTTATATTATTTATATTATTCAGACTGTTATCCTCATCTTCATTACCATATTCACAACGTTTTGGACGTTGTACACTTCGGCCTTCTTCACAAGAAGGCCAGAGCATACAATGGCCAAAACGTTGTGAATATGGCAGTGAAGATGAGGATAACAGTTCGAATAATGTAAAAAAATCTTACTTGTTGAAAACTCTTCTTTGAAGTAAGAAAAAGAAAGTTAAATGGTTGTCGATATTAATATATTTTATTCTTTCAATAGGTAATAGAAAAATCCTAGTGTTTACAATTTAATTTTGAACACACGCACATATACACATATATATATAGCAAACATTAAATTAGTTTACACTAGATTATGGCCATATCACATTGAAATACCAATTCGCGTATAATCATTGAAGTTAAGCAATGTCAAGGCTGGTCAGAATCTAGATAAGTGACCGCTTGGAAACACCTGGTGCTGTAAGCTTAGATGTGTGGGTGGTGTAATGGATAATGGCTCGGAATTGGAAATTGAAGAGGAGACTTCCAATTCCAGTCAGGTTCATTAGATTCACTTACACACAAATTTCCTTGGGAAAGGTATGAATACATCTCTTCTTCCTCCAGCTATGGGTTAATTAGTAGAACTTGTATCAGTAAATCTCCAAAATAATTCTTACAATCTAAAAATATTTTCTGGCTTTAAATAACCTGCAAGGGGTTCATGAATTATAAAAATTGGCTAATTGCTCCTACTAGATTAGATTTTAAAAATTTAAGATGTTAGAGGGATTGAATTTAACAGATACAAATAGGTGTTTAATCCGCAATGACATACTTAGTATATTTTACACTTTTTAGTTATTGTAGGAAAATGTGTTTTAAAAAAAAAATGACTTAGCCTCAGCAAAACTGCACTGTTGTCCTGATTTTTTAAATTTCTGTGATTAATTTTTTTTCCAATTGTTCATATGTTAATATTTTTAAACAAAAAGTTTATGCCAGAAATCAGAAAATGAAGCAGCCATTTTGACAAGAATGTTTTCTTGTTGGGGTAGTCTTCTGTAAGTATATTCCCACCTCAATGTGTGTGACTTAAAATAAAACCTTCCCTGTTACTATCCATATTTTAAAAGTAGACTTGCTTACAAGTGCAGAAATAAGGTTACGACAAAAATAAGCTTTTGATTAAAATTAATATCATATTAATAAAAGTGATTAATTATTGAAAATGATAGGTTTTAATTTGTCAATTTCTGAGCAAATAATTTTTTTTTTTTTTTCAAAGAAAGCATCTTAAATGAAGAAATCCTTGTGGGCTTCTTCACTGTCAAGAATATTGACAAGGCATTATCATTTCAAAATAAATGATCTTGTAAAATAATTTAGAAATGGTTATTTTTAAATTTCTTGAATTGTATGTATATAGCTATTTGTCACTTTGATAAATATGATATGAAGTAGACATTATTAATACTTTTTTAATTTAGCTTTAATATGAAAATTTGTGAAAACTGATCTTGGAAGATTTTAACTGTCATTTTTCTCTGCTTCATTGAAATTAACAAGTGTTAAGTCAGAATTTTAAACCACAACCTGTGGACAAATAAACAGAAAATTTAGTGATTATTTAATCACTTTTCCCCAAAATGTGTGGATTTTTGAAAATTTGATTCAAAGCCTTAATAATATTTTAATCTAATTAAAATTAAAATATTCTGTATCTAATAAAATGCCCTTTTGAAGTTTGCATAAAGATAATGAAAAATAACTTTAATAATTTCTTTAAAATAAGACTGATTTCCACTTGACAAGATCTTTTATTGATAAAAGTAACTTTCTACAAATTCCACTTGAGACAGAATCCAGTGGGGGCATGCATTATTTGCTATGAGTAAGAAAAAAAAATTAGACAAATTATGAATACAGTAAGCAACTTCTAGCATTTTGTTTGCAATTGTTTATTTCAGTGCTCAGTTTCCCTCGACGGAGGAGAAGATCTGGCTATTGGCAAAGTAATGATTCATTTGTAGTTTATGTCCCCCCTATCAATCCAATTCACCCATTTTGGCAACCCACCATCCCCAAAGCATCCTGCCCTTTCATCTGCATTGCTGATTCTTGTCATGCTTTAAAGCGCTTTGACTTGCATTGTCTCAACTGCTTCTATCTGACGAGATCCTTGATTCTTCTCTTTATCATCTGCTCATTTTGACACTCAATTCTTGACCAAATCAACATTTTTCTCTTTCTTTTTAATTTATATGAATTTTGTTGAGTTGTTTGGCATATTCATAATAAAATTAATTTATTTCCCATTTCTTTTGTAAAGCTTTCTCTCTTTTAATTGTATTCTTCAGTCATTTTCATTTATAGCATTTAATTATTTGTTCAACAAGGATTTATTGCCCAAAATCTGTACCGGCTTATGGTTGCAAAAAGTTGATCATAGTTACTAAAAGCCACAAGTCTGTGGGTTTGGAAAATTTGGTACTCACAGGATATATTGTGGGCAAGATGGACAGAGGAAAACAATGCATAATCTGTAATGGTTGATTATCACAATCCAAGTCTGATGAAGCCTAGTAGGATTTGGGGGTGAGATGGTTAGATATTATTTGACTTTTGAAAAGTTGTTGGTTTGGTTCTGAAGTGCCATTGGGCAAACTGGTACTTGATTGAAAATGCTGACTGCAAGAACTTTGATTGACTCTCTAGCTTTTTACAGTAATTACTCAAAGCTTGGCATGTTGCTACTTCCTCCTCCCCCTATGCTGCTATTTTTTTACTATTGTCTTTTCTATAATAAAGTATTTGAATCTTGACTAGTATAATCACTTTTTATCTGTTTCTAAGTCATTTATGAGGACAAAAAATGTAAGAGTTAAACATCTTACCTAAGATGATTATCAAAAATTTTTCTTTTTTTTTTTTTTCTAAAGAATATACTGAATTTTTCCCTTCCTGGCATCTGTGGGGCTATTCAGGGGGTGCACTCAGGTCACTTAGAATAAAATCCCCATTGTTCAATGTGGAATTTCAACTTTTTTTTTTTTTTAAATGTTCTGGGCATTCTACAGTTCAAGGTTTCATTGCAGAACTGATTGTCAGCTTTAAGTCTGAAATTACTGCTGTTAATTCTTATAATTAACAGATCTCGATTCATTTGAAAACAGAATCGATCTGTTAATTTTATTAAAATTGTCATGATAGGAAGAAAACTCAGATTAACTAAAAAAAAAAAATTAGTACTCTAAATGAGTTTGACTTGACATTGATCTTCTTTAAGACGGTGGCTTATTGTTCAGTGCCAATGTTCAATTTCATTGCTTTGATATTTTGTTCTATTAAAAGGTATTGATTAGCGTTACAATAAATTTTGGATTGAAAGAATCATTTGTCTAGTGTTTTAAATATTAAAAAAAAAATATGATTTTAGTTTTAATTTCTTAGAAATATTTTTGCAGTATTATTTATCAAATTCACAGAGAAAACCCTTAGAAGTGTCTTATTCTTAGAATATGTATTTTATCCAGCAAAACTCTTGAAGGGATTTTACATGATGGTTTCATTATGAAAGTCTGTGTTGTAATAAGGTTCTAATATCTTGTTTTTCTTTCTTTCTGCCAAAATAACATTTCAGTGTGATTTTTTTTTGATTTTTTTTTAAGAGAAAGTTTTTGCTGTGAAATTGTGTTTGACTCCACCTTTTATTGGTCAGAGAAGATAAGATAGTTTTAAGTCCAGTAGCTGTTATCACTCTTTCCAGTATTAGAGGAGGTTTCATTCCTAACCTTTTGTTTAAAGTAGTGTGGAATATCAACATATTGATTATATCATTTTCTCTTTGAGTTACATATGCTATTCATTTTAGTTGTTGCTGTTGTTGAAAGTCTTCAAGTGATGATGTTTCTGCTATTTGGTAGTTCTTTGTGATTTACTAGTGCCAGTCAACAGGGGTCAAAGAAGAGTGGTCTTTGTTAAGGCCTACAGGCTTCATTCACTGAAAACTCATTTTTAATCATTGATCTGAGAAAGCCATTGTAGACAGATGACAGTTTAGATATTTCTGAACAGGTTTGGAGTTATACGTGACAACCATATGAAAGCCTCAATCTGACATGGCTGTTGAAGAACATTACTCAAGTTTTTAGCCTAATATTTTTATTTTATAGTAATTGGCAATCTTGAATGAAACTAGCACATTCTTTGTTGAATAAGTTAAAAAAAATGAGCATAAATATTGCACAATAAAATATATTCTAATGTATATTAAAACATGGCCATACATATTTTTAAAAGAAAGTACTAAATTGATGTGAACATTTAGTAAATGAAATAAATATATAAAGAAAAAGTTAAATATATTGCCAAAAGATTTAAAGATTTTTTTTTTTTTTACAATGTCAAAAATAATTAAATGTCTTATCACATGTATACAATAGATTTAGGAGCATTGGTGGGTAGGGGGATATTTCAAGAAGAATTATTTGTATCCTTCCTATTGGCATTGGTAAAAGGAGCTCTGTCAACTTATTTGATTCTTACATTTTGATAGGGATTTTTTGTAATCACATCACCTGTTATTGTCCTTTTTTTTTTTTTTTTTTTTTTTGTCACTATTTTCTGTATTACGGTTAAATTTATGTTCATTATTTTCTGTATTATGGTTAAATTTATTTATATTTATTTGGTTGATATTTAAAAAAATATAGGAAATAAAAAAAAATGTATAGTTGTGATCCTAATATTTCTAGATGTTCTTATAAACTTTAAAATTTGTTGATTTAAATGTAAAGTTATTTACTGCTTAAAACAAATTTGAAAAAAATGCACCCTTCTATTTGTCATGCTCAGGTTGGTTGTTATACTTATAATGTTTCAGCTGTTGTACTCTCTGACCTTCATCAGGTGTCTGTTGTTGTATTTGGTAATTCTGAAATGGTCCCTGTATTCAATCCATGGAGATAGATTGCTTAAATTCTGCTTTCCATGGTGAGGGGAGATAACTCATATGAGTTAATTTGTGTCTCTTGTCTGTTGCCTTCACTGAACCAGGGTATATGACTTTTATGTTATCTAGGAATTACTAAGGGGTTAGAATTATACAATTGAGTATAACAACTAAAATAAGTACACTGGTCGAAATTGAAGGGCATAATAATAATAAAATTAATAATTCCATGTCTTGAAAAATCTGACATTAGGAAAATTTACTTACTCTTTGCTTGACCAGATTTTCCCTCATCTGCATTGAAAATATTAAAATCCTTTTCTTCATACCTGTCTCCATGTTTTCTTTAATCCACTCCTTTCAAATATTTTTCTTATTTTTTTCTTTCTTTTGTCTTCTTTCTTTTGTCTTCTTTCTTTTGTCTTCTTTCTTTTGTCTTCTTTCTTTTGTCTTCTTTCTTTTGTCTTCTTTCTTTTGTCTTCTTTCTTTTGTCTTCTTTCTTTTGTCTTCTTTGTCTTCTTTTGCTTTTGTCTTTTTTGTCTTCTTTCTTTTGTCTTCTTTCTTTTGTCTTCTTTCTTTTGTCTCCATCTACTGTATTGTTACTTTCTGTTCAATACTTAAAAAAGATGAATCTCTCTCATTTTTCTTTGCCCCCTCTCTCAATTGTCTTTTATTTCTCTTTGTGTATGCATATCTTCAATCTTTCTCTTTGTTTTGATTTGTGCTCTCATATATATATATATATATATATATATATTGTATGTATCTTTCTCTGTTATCTATATTGTGCTAATTGTTGCAGGTTCTTTTATACCTGCCACTCAAAATGATTGAACCTAAGAAGTTGTACATGATTATTCATTTAAGTATATTTTTATGTTGTTCACAACCTTCAAGAGAGTATTTCTTTCAAATTGTTTAACTTTTATGCTAAAAGTTAATAACAACGATGAAAATATTTGAAATCATTAAAATACTTTTTGCTCAAATAGAACCTTTCTAAGAAAAAAACAAAAAAAAAACAATGTAATTTCCTAACCGGGTATATAAATTTGATTTGAAGCATTTTTCAAATATTACAAATTATTGGCCCTCATTCTATTGCATCTCCAAATATATATTCTTTTGATGACTAACAGTTTTTGTTTTAATAATTTGACTAATCAAATGCTTTGTTTCTAATGAAACTGATTTAATACATTTAAATTGTTTTGATATTTTTGCATTTGAGTGTCACTTTTTAATCTTGTTTTTATTATTAAAACATTTTTGTATCTTTTTCTTGTACTAAAAAGCAACTGGAGGCAACATACCCAAAACACATTCTGACAACCATTTTTTTCTTCTTGGCTGTTGTACTTTGCTGCATACACATACACACAAACATATATATATATATATATATATATATATGTTTCATAAATCTGTTTGACTACAGAAATATAGTAGCATAATACATCATTGCTAATGTTAAGATGTTTCTAAACTTGTTCTTTTTTGTATGTAGTTTAAACAAAGGCAGGCATAGATTTTTTTGGAAAAGCATTTTTCCTATTGAAATATTGCAATGGAAAATTAGAATAAGTATTTTTATTAGAGTTTTCAGTCATTTATAACAGCACTGATATTCAGATTACTTAAAACAATTATTTTATTACTTATTTTAGTGCATACTTTTACTTACAATTATTGTCAGTGCATTATTTAAACAAATAGGCTGTAAATGATCAACAGTGTTTTTTAATAGCCATCTGTTACTTATAGCTGATGAAGTCTGTTTTTACATTTGTATAAGTAGCAAAGTAATCATTCTAAGTAATGCAGCTAATTGAAATAAGTGTTGTGTAATTTATTGTGATCTGAAACTCCTGTTTGGAATTTTGAAATTCATTTGTGTGAAGCTATATTTTGAATATAACATTGTCAATATTTTTTATAATAGATTCAAAAAAAAAAAAAACATATCAAAAGGGAGCTATTTTATTGTTGTAACCATGATAGATTTTAAACAATTTTTTTTTAATGGGAGTCTATCTTGGTACTGCTGCAAGTTAGAAGTGTTCATATATAGTTGCAAATGTTTCATCCTGTATTTAATACATTATGTCTAGCAAAGAACAAAAATGTTCTGATTCATTGTAAATGGAATAAATTGCTTTCTTTAAAGTCTCAATTATGAACCTTGTTCATCTTTTGTCTTGGACTTTTGTTGGTTCATCTCTGTAGAATCAAAATGAAAATTTAGGAATATTTATACAAAAAAGTTGGAGAGCAGCCAAACATGACAAACTGCATCAGTACTAATCAGCAGGCAGGTTAGGTTTAGTTCTCCACAGAGAATTGTCCCATGGGACAATAGTATAGTGGATTAATGTGTTGTTAAAAATAAGAAAAATCTACCCCTCTACTTAAGTAAATTGTTCCCCCAAATCGATATACACCTGATGAAGACCAGGTGGCAAAAATGCCAAAATGCTGTGATAACAGTTGCCCAAATGTAAATAATGTATATGGCGCTGAAGAGTTATTTACAGGTACCCTTCTTGAGAATGTTAAATAAAATAAGTTTTTAATTTTGGAGGTATTAAATGCTATTATTTTATTATTTTTATAAGTCAGCTTCAAGATGAAACCTTTTTGCCATTTCTGGAGTTGTAAAGGATAAATATTTCTATAGAGGAGATGGCTTTAATATTTACAGACTTATCAAAAACTGGCAAGCATCAAAAAGAAGAATTGTTAGAAATACTGTCTGAAACTCTTAGAAAATTAAAAATGGATGCAACATGTAATCTATTTATACAGTCAGGTTGATAAACATAATTAGTTACAGGATATATATATATATATATATATATAAAACAGTCCTATATGATTTTCATTTAATAGTTTTTCTAATTATTCAAGTATACTTGGAGATTTCTTGTAAGTTTGGGAAATTTTAAATTGATTTTTTTAACTAGTTTTAATTAAATTTCTTACGAGTTCAACTTTCATTTTATTTTTTAATTTGAATTATTTTAAATGTCAGTAGAATTTAGGATAAATCATTTTGAGTTTTTTTTTAGTTGCATTGATTCAGTAAATGGAGGAATGTTTACTAAAAATTAATATCTATAAGAAGGTAAGTATTAGACTTTAAATGATTTTTTTTTTTACAAATATTTTACAGAAAAATAAATTTACTGAAGTAAAAAATAAAGTTCTTCATTGTATTGTTTTTTCTCTTGACTAGTTACTGAAAATTTTTGACTAGTATTTAATCATAGTTTTAAATCTACCTTTGCTATATTTTTAAATATGCAATATTTGCTTTTGAGCTGCCATAATGATGAAAATTGCCTACACTAATATAGTCCAATAGTTTCTTTTGCATGGCTATAGAATTAGTCTTGATTAAAGAGAAACCTGCTTTTTACTTTAGTTGAGGAACAACTGTAAATGTTTGCATTGTAGTCTAGCATCATTTTCTCTGTAATTGAACGGATGTTTCAAGAAAGAGGCAAGTGTCAAATTAATAAATACAGTTGAATTTGTGCTTCCATATTTTTCTCATTTTTATTTCTGTTTGCTCTTGTCTGAAATAAATTAGATGCTAATTTTGAGTTTTACCATTGCTTGCTTCAGTTAAATGACAATGGATAAAATTTCCTAAAATGTTACTGCTATTTTATTTCCATAGATCTTGTGTCTAAAATATAAATTATTTCTTCATGTCAAATGAAAGATTTTTTTTTTCTTTTAACTTATCTGTGTAGTGGGTTGGAAAACTACTTTGTATTACTAAAGAACTTGTTACTGAATAAAGTTGAAAGGTCAGTACCTGAACTGCATCTAAGTGAGAAGTCAAAGTGAAGCATATTTTTAAAAAATATTTTCAGAAAGAACAAGGAGATATTTTTTTTTAAATATTTTAAGTCTATTTTGATGTTAGATTTCAAGCAAGACAATAATGCCACTTAGACTCCAGAGGTTACTGAGTGTGAAAGAGAAAAGACAAAACAAAACAGGTTTCAGGAAAATAGAAGATGGCAATTGGCATTGCATTTAAATTTTTGAAGATTGTAGTTGGCAGGGAAGCAAGAAACCAAAAGAGGAATTCCACTGGTGAGAGAAGAATCTGTTAGAAGTGTGGTTACATTTAGCTATTTCACCAGTAAAATTATGAGACCTTTTGGTCTGTTCTGAAGCTCACTGCAATCACAGTTGAGTGACTTTAACCACGCAATGATAAAATTTCAACTTAAAGAAAATAACAAAAATAATGTCTGTTCATCAGTGTTTCTATATCCTATGAGAATATGTATTTCAAACAATATTCCCCAAAAAGGAGATACATTTTAAAAATGATCTCTTGATGTATGTATAAATAAAAAGGGAATGATGCAAAAAAAAAAAAACAAAACAATAATACAATATAAAATGACCATTGATTTTGTCCAAACCTAAAAAAAGATGTAATGTAAACAAAGAATCTGTTGGGGTGAAACACTTAACCAATTGCTCTCCCACCAACTACTGGGATAATAGCGAGAGAGGGAAAAGAGATGGGAGGTAACAAAAAATGATATTGTCTTGGAAACCACAGCAACTTGAGGAACAAAATGCCCACGGAACTGACTTCACAAAACACCATGTTTTGCTGGTTCCTGTTTTTCCCCAGCTTTTTTGGGCATGAGGCATCTTACAAAGACCCAGATCTTGACCAGTTGCAAAGAGGCCCGTATCTAGACATGCAAAACTATCCCACTTGCTAATGGGAAAATCTTGGATGTAACTGGTGTTGACAAATATGTGATCCAAAGCCTCTTTTGCATTTGTACTGATGTTTATTTGCCACAAAGGATCAGATAATTCCTTTGGTTACTTTTTTTTTTTTTTCTTCCTCAGTTTTTTAAGTACATTAACTAGCATTGAATATATATGTAAATGCTTAGGCTATATTGATATTCTGGCAAAGTTTAACAAACGTGCCCACAAAAAAAAATGTGTCAAAAGGATGAACTCCGCTACTACTTTATACACAGCAATTTTTGTTGTTTTGAAAAGCTATTTTTAGAATTTTAGTAAAACTCAAACATGAAACTCAGTTTATGGATTTTATTTTTTCTTGAGAATTGACAATAAAAATATTAAACATTATTTATCAAATTTTTTTATTTACAAGAAAAAAATTTATATTTAAGAATTTATAAAAAATATGGGAAGAAACTGCAATGCAACATTTATTATTGGCCATATTATAAAGAAATAATTTTGAAAAGAAATTTTTTTATTTGTAAATTCATAAAAATGATTGAAGAGAACAAAGAACATGTAAATAAACACATAATTAATAATTGTAATTATAAATTTTGAAAAAACATTGTCATATTTCTTTCATTTGCTCTCAATGCATAAATTTGCTAAAATAAGTTGGGAGTCAAGACAAAAAATATATAGGTCCAATTTGGGTTTAATTAAAATTCTAAAAATAGCTTTTTAAACTAATACAAAGTACCAAGGGGGTATTAGCTTCTTTTTTTTTCTTTCTTGGAGTGCATTTGTTAAACTTTGGCGATATTTTCTTGGATATTTTCAACAAAAATTTCAGCTCAATATAAATCATTTATAAATTTCTAAGTTTTACTATTTTAATCTTGGAATTTCTTTCATAGAGCAAAATTTCTCCTTTTATTAAAAAAACAAAAAATACACAATATCAGTACAATATTTAACATTATTGTTTAAATAGTCATCTAAATAAATCTTATAGTCATATTCACTTGCAGACAAAATTAAAAATATTAAATATTTCTTGAATATTATCTTCTGTTCCTTTTAAATATTTTACTATTTAATAACCAAAGTTTAGTAAGTTAGCATACAGTTTGTTTATTTGGCAACAAAAGGACATACATCAAAATAATAAAAAATTTTCTCCAAGCAAAATGCAAATTAATTTCAGTTCAGTCAACTGTATTTAATAATTGGCTCTATTCCTTCTACTGACTTATTTTCCTGATTAAATTTTTTTTTTTAACATCTAAAATGAAATATTTCAGTAATGTCCTTTCTTGAATCTATCTGATCTCGGATTTTGATCAAAATGTACAATATTCTATTGCCATTTTATAAGAAATATAAACAGAACCAAAAATTGACCCCAAATTCTCATTACGTTTAGTATTTTGTTTTCATTAGAAAAGGCTGCATCAGTTATTTTAAAAACTGATCAGAAAGGCAGTTAATTTTGCTATGATTAGTTGGTCATTTGTGATGGTAGAATTTTTAATTACAAATTCAGATTTTTTTTTTCCCATTCATTCATTTCTTTTCAGAAGGATAGACTAATGTAGATGAACAAAATAAGGGTTCTTTCTGTGGGAGTGAATGTCTCAGGATCTTTTAGCAGCAGCTCTAATTTATCTGTCATTAGTAGAAATTGAATGATTTATGGCTATTGCATTTTTTTTTTTTAGGTCAGTGATGAATTTTTGGCCTGAAAAGGTTAAAAAAAAAAAAAAAAGAAAAAAAAAGGTTTTATGCATACTCATGAAAAATATTAAAACAGGGAATAGTCAATTTTTACCTGTTGGCCTACTTTCTAAGTTTTGGATGAGGACTGATCATTATTTACTCTATTTACATGTGGACTATTGTCCTCATCTTTGTTGTTGTTATCTCAACATTACGACTGTTGTGCCCTCTGGCTTTCATCAGGTGTATTTTGATCCAGGTAACCTACAGGAAATTCAGAACTGAATTGTTTATTTTTCTCCTTTCACTGCCTATGTCTAGGGATATCTCATCTAGTTCTTATTTTTCATCCTGTTTGGTTATTGCTTGCCCTGTTTCCCATGTGACAATAGACTAGTGGATTAAACCATTGGTTCATGAATTTGGTGACATAATACTTGTGAGTTCAATCCCTGGGTTAGGCAGTGTGTATTTGGATTCAGTGGAAACGGTGAGCAATATCTGAGCAGGACAAAAAATAGGAATTAGATGAGATGTCCCTAGACGTGGGTAGGTTAAATAAAGGGTTAATTTTGGAATTCCCCATTGGTTACCTGGATCGGCATGAACTTGATGAAGGCCAGAGAACACAATGACTGGAACCTTGTAATAACTCATAAAGATGAGAACAATAGTCCATATGTAAACAGTATAAATAATGCCCTCTAATTATCATTACAAAGGGATTGCAGTGATCTGTTAGTAGTTGGTGGATATTTACTGAAATGGTTGTTTTAAGTTTATAAAGTTAATTTTTTGTTTAAGCTCTTCTCAAGAGTTTTTCATTCTCAGGTTCTGCTGTGATATATGATTAAGAAAAATCAGTTATAATATTCCTATCTCTATTTTGGTCTTCGGATAAATTTTTACTTGTATCCATCATCTTCAACAAAACTGATTGTTCATTCTGTAAATTCTGAAAGTTTTGTTGTCTTTTGAAAAAATAGTCAGTCATCTTTTTGCATCTCCTGAAAAACAAAACAAAAAAAAAAACACTTTCCAATATTGTGGTTTGCCTCCTTGTTGTTTGTCGGTGCAAGAAAGAAACTATACATTTGTTTGTTCTTTCATATTTTTTTTTTTTTTTTTTTTTTTAATAACAACCACCAAATTTGTTTGATAAAATTCTCCTTCTCCCGACAACCTGTAAATCTATTTGTAATATTAAGAATCAAATTATTTTCCTTTTTAATAATAACCATCTAAGCAGAATGTTCATAAATTCTAACTTGTCTATTTTGTCATTTTGGCCTTGTGAAAAAATTAAACTTGAGTGTGTTTCTCATTTGATCCATTTGTATTTTCTTTCTTTCTTTTTTTTTTTTTTTTTTTTTTTTCTGTAATGTGTTGTAGGGGCGCGTGCTTCCCACCACATGTCACTCAGGAGAGGTAATTAGTCAGTTACTAGGTACCAACCAACACACTAAAATGCTAAAATGTCTTGCTGGCTGTGTAGATCTGAAATTATTTATTTTTACTAATGGCTTTTAACACACAGTCTATGTTAACTTAAAAACATTATTATTTTTTTTTTGTCTCATTTTAACTCCTAACTCCCAACCCTGACTTCTAATATTATGTAATCTTGTTCTTCCCAGTTTGTTGATAAAATATCACCTGCCTAATGTTCATCAAATGATAAGGTATTTGAAGCAGTTTAAGAATTCAAGGTATTTGGACTTCAAAATAACTGACTAGTAGAAAAGAAAATTAACCTTCCAATGTTGCTTTTATCAAAATCAAATTGTAAATCAATACTTAAATGTAAACTTTTATAAGAATGTCTGCATTCTTTTTACAGTAAATTATTCTACTCCTTGATATAAACATTTCAGATTTAAACTCTCTTATTTGCTGAGAAAGCTTTGAGAGGAACTGGATGAATGAACTGAACATTGACCATTGATCTTTTTTTCTATATAATTTGAATGGCAAAAGTTACCTTTTGTCCAAACTACAGTCTTTTATTGAACTTAGAGAAAATGAATAATTCTCAAAATGCAATTAGCAGATGCATTCTTTTAAACAAAGCAAATAATTGTATTCATTATCATTAACATATTATAGTGGATGTTTTCCCTTTTTTTTTTTATAACTGCCAACAAATGAAACAGGGTGATTTAAATTTGGATTTGTTTTTCTTATTCAATATGATTACTGTGATAAGGACAAAAAGTGTCAACAATTTTTTTCTTCAAAGATGAATTTGGGCTAGTGTCTCTATTTTTATAACTTTTTCACACTGACTTGGAAAAGTGTACAAAAATAGTTTGATAATACTAAACTGATTGCCGTTTTTCTCTTTCAAAATCCTTACAATATTGTTTGTTGTCTAGTCATAATATACAATATTGTCTGTTGTCTATTTCTTATAAGTAATAAGAAATAGAAAAACTTTGCTAAAACAAGGAAAAGAGCACTAAACTGCTATGTGATATCTGTCCTCCTGTATGGCAGTGAGTGCTGGACAATCTCCTCAAAGATGAAAAATAATTTTCCCAATAATTTAAGAATATCCAAATGTAGACAGTTGTAAACAAAAGAGGATGTGCAAGTTGTAAAGGATGGCAGATCAGAATGACAAAATGGTGAACAGAGTTCTTTACATTCACTTCTATGCAAATACCCTTGAGAAAGGTATGAATCTATCTCAAATCTACCTGACAATTATGAGTTAAATAATAGGACTTGTATTGGGAAAAGTCCATTGTGATCTATAAAAAAAAAAAATAATTCTTACAATACAAAATGTTTAGGTTTAAATAAACCCAAAAGGATTGCTAAATTGTAAAAAAAACAAAACAAATCCAGTCGATGTTGAAAAAGAGAAATGAAGAAACTAGTAAAAATTAGTGAAAATGCTTAATCTCCAAGTTTCAAATAACTTTTAACCAGTACCAAAAAAAAAAAAGAATTAGTTCTATATACCCCCAATACAAACTCATGCCAGAAAATAAAAATAAATTTTTTTTGAAAGACAGAGAAAAATGGCAAAAGAAAAATATTGGCCTGAACACAGAAGAGCCATGTCTTTGTAAAAGATGATACAGCAATATGTATGCAATGTTAGAAAGAAAACAATTGCAAAGAGATTTAGTTTGAGGAACCTGATAGCTTAAAGTTCCTTAAGAAGTGGTAATCTGATTCTTCAAATGGTTATGCAAGACTTTTATATTGCCAAAATAGTGAATATCTTGTGAGGAATCCATGATGGGCAGATTGGCTTCTAATTTACATAGGACTAGCTGAGACTTAAAACAAATCATATACAATTTGAAAACTTGGCAGTTGAGAAGCTAGACTTGTTAAAAATTAAAAAATGTTGTTAAAAATTTCTTGGCTTGACCAAGAAGATTTTACTCATCTAAGATATAAACACAAAGTGATCCAAACTTTATAATTGTTTATATCCTATTCTATAGACCAGACATACACGAAATGTCATCTGCAAGACTACCCAGTGTGGCATGTGATGGATTTTCAAAATAGTCATAATCTAATTCTTAGAAATAATTCATCATCTCAAAAATCTACCCCATGAAAAAATGTTGTTTCTGAATTCTTATATCCTTTTGTATCTCCAACACACAAACAAAATTAAATTCTTACATTGACCATATATGCATCACACTCTCTCATAGGTTGACTTATCATTTGACAACATTTAGTGCAATTTGTGCAGATATAGATGAACATATGATAAATAAGCAAAATAATATTGATATAAGACAAATTTTAGTTGATAAAACCAAAGTTTTAGACGGTGCAAAGAAAGACTCCAAATTCTGGAGGCTGTTCTAGTAAAAGAGAAGCAGCCAACATTAAAGAATTTCACTTTCTCCATAGGAGACTATATCTTGAAGTGTAGTTTAAAAAAAACAAAAAATACATATAAAAATTTCAGTTTGACCATTTATATGATGTCACTTTTAGTGACTTGAAATTGGTTCCATCAAATGTGAGAATGCCTTGAAAATGAATGTCGCAACATTTGAAAATACTCAGGTGGAGGCGGTAATAATATAAGATAAAAATAAATATGAACTTTGGCAAATTTACCATTAATATAAAACAACTAATTTGGCAATTTGAAAAATTTAATAAAAAAAATTGATAGACAAAACTTGTCAATATTATTTAAACAAACATGTTTAATATATATCAGGCAAAAGGAAAACTTACCTTAGCTGACATGTTCTGTCCTCTGATGAACTTTATCAAGGCAAATGTAAGGATTTTATTTTGTAAAACAAATTTTGCAAGTAAAAATGTCAGTTTTTCCAAATTTTTAAATTTAAGAACATTCATAAATATACATTTAGGCTAACTGAAAAGTCTAGGTAAATTTTGTTTATTCAACATTAAATTACATCACTTAGCATCTTCCATAATTTACCTAGACTTTTCAGTTAACCTGATGAATATTTATGAATATCTCTTACATTTAAAAATTTTCAAAAACTAACAGCATTTTGACTTTTGTTGATAAATACTTGTTGCAAAATAAAATCCTTACATTTGTCTTGATAAAGTCCATCAGAGGATGAAACAGGTCGACTAAGCTAAGTTTTCCTTTTGCCTTTATTCATATTGTCCTTTTACAGATATATATTTTAATCATATTTGAAATTTTACACACGCACACACACACACACACACACACACACACACACACTTAGTAACTCTCACTACCTGAACATGGTGGTTCATAAACTTATGAACACTGATTCTGATGTTTTGGTAACTTAGCTATCACTTAATGTATTCTAAAAAAAAAAAAAAAAACAACTTCAGTGTTAAGGATTTCTTTTTTTCTCTTCTACTTCATTATTTGATCATTTGATGATGCCATGGCAGTTATTTTTGTCTTGTTAATTTACCCTGCTCAATAATTTAGAATAAATTAATGATGACATACATGCATCTGTTATCTAGTGTTTTTTTTTTTTTTTTTTTTTTTTTTTTTGATACTCCTTACCAGTTGTGACTATTAATTCTTCGCCTCATGTATGAGACCTGAACCATACTCTCCCTGTCCATTCATGTCGGTTGTCAGTTCTTGTTACTTAATGTACTTGATTTCTTCTTCCGACTGTTACCCTCCTCCACTTTTACCTTTTGTATCTTATTTGCTTGTCGTCTTTTCACATCGTACCGACTCTGGGCATGCTTCTTGCTGGTTTTGCATCTATTCAACAACAATATCAACAGCAGCAGTTGGTACCTGGCATGTGTTGTCTGAGTATTTTTTTTTTTTTTCACACCTCTTTGGCTGCTGGCCAGAGTTAATGTTTATTTTATTTATCCTCCCCCACCAATGACTCTGAAGGCTTCTGGCTGGCCAATTTTGCTCAGTTCTTTTTGGTTGCAGCTGTACTCCAATCTATACAAATTTTTTAAATTTTTTTTTCAAGAAAAAGATCCTCCCACCACCATTTTTCAAACTATTTATTAACAGGCTTATGCATTATCTCTTCACCTTTACAAATCTTTTTTTCATTTAATATAATAAAATCTGAAATATATAAACAAGGTTTGTAAACAAGATCATGAATACCACATGTAGTTCTTTACATGAAACAATATAAACATGTTATACATGTTTACACATGTAGAATTCTTAAGTGGTTTTATGATATACATGTTGGTTGTCATTTTCTAAATACTTTTTAATGGTATTTTTTTTTTTTTTTGTTAGAATTTAAAAACTGTCTTTTAAAAAAAAAATCAGTTATTGGGCTAGTCCCGTGTTACTTTGGGACTAACACAAATAAGAATGAAAACTTTATCAACAAAAAAGTGATTTATTTATGTTTAAAAAAATCTGAATACCACAATTAACACAATCTGAATGCTACAATTAACACAATGTCCTTTCATATGTGTGTGTGTGCGTATATATATATATATATATATATATATATATATATATATAGAGAGAGAGAGAGAGAATATGTTAGGCAGACTTACTGGTCTGGTGAAGTGAAATAGAACCAGACAACTTGTATCTTTAAACCCTTGGTAACTGGTATTGTGGTGGCAGAGAGAATTTCTTGCATGTCACTTCAGAGCAGGTCTGAATCTCTTCTCCTGGGGGACAACTTTTTCCAAAGCCATGTGGTTTAAATAAGCAATGAGAGAGCTGCCTCATATCATGTAACCTATCTATATCTCTCTCACTCTCTCTCTCTCTCTATATATATATATATATATATATATATATATATATATATGTATGTATGTATGTGAAAGCAGACAAATTTTACTGACCCAACGATTTATTCATTGTTAAAAGTATTATATTTGAATTAGTATTTTCTTTGAAAAAAAATTTGTAGCATTGCCTTGTACTAAAAACTATGCTACAAATATAGGCAAGGCCAGGGTTT